CATTGAACACTTATTTGAATAAGTATTCCTAACTTGTGTTATCTTTGACAAATAATTGCCAAACCCTGTTCCATGACACTTCTAGGAAAGAGAGTAAGTGCTAAAGAAAGTAATCTAGCTTGCTTTAACAATAAATCTTTAAATGTCCAGGGATTTGCTAAACAATCTCAATCTGGTATGCTCTGCTAAGTCAAGTATATTTTGTCTACTTCAGTTTATTGTATAAGAAAGACTTTATCCAAATAGTCCTTTACTTGAACCATCAATTCTCTTAGGCTGATCACTTAGATCTATTGAAACACAGGATGAAGTTAAAGGAGGTGATTTAGAATGGTCTATTTTTCTAGTACAAAAGCACAGATGAAAGGTTAAAGTGCATCCAGTATTCTAGGTGGGAACAAGTTCAGTAACGCACAACCTGACAGTCCAAAGGAATGAATTCAGAAAGCTTTCGCAAAGCCACTCCTCAGCCCCATTCCTCTGAAGGCCATTCTCCAATGAGAGCTCCTTCACTAAACTTCCCAAGAAAACCAAGCTGCTGATTCCATCTTGATGTTTCTAAAGCACTGAACATTATTTGCATGATATCTATTTTTTTTCCCGCACTGTTTCAAGAGAATCTTGGATTCCTGGCTTTCTCATCACCCTATCTAATTCTTAGATTCTAAATTCAGGATCCAATATTTTCATTTTTACATTTTTATAGTGACAATATTACCTGGCACACCAATAAGTCTGAGATCAATGAGTATTTAATGACAGTAGATGGATTTGGTTGGATCACAGGAACGATGTAGGAATTTTCCTTTAAATTTAATTTAGTCAAACCATAAACATCCTCCATTCTCAGGGAAATAACCATACAAGATGAGGGATGAATAGCTCTGTGGTAATGGGTAGGCAGAGAGGATCATTTACTCACTTTTTACTCTAGGTAGACAGACTAGAATGGCTGATGAGAGCAAATTTGAATTGTGTGCAAAGTACTTGATTATTCCATATGTTAGTTTTCTCCTTTATAAGTTGTGAACAAATATCTTTTTACCTTATAGGTTTGTTGGGTAAACTAATTTAGTGCATGTAAAACAATCTAGTGCATGCTACATGGTAAATACTCATTAATTGGCATTTGGTTATTTTAATTTTAATCCTTTCTAACTGTTCCATCTATTTTACAATGAAAAAAAAAGAAACATTGAGAACTTGTTTATCCAGAAATATTGATTTTGGACAACAAAACAATAAAAATATGTAGGGAATAGTAAAGTACACTGTTTGGCAAGTATATTCTGTGTATGAGTGTGATATAAGTTGAGTAACAAAGTGGATAGGTAAACAATTGAAAAAGGGTCAGCATCATCATTTCCTATTCAGTTCTGTGACTTATAAGAGGCTTGAATTTGAACTTGTATAGCTATTCTTAACAAATCACTCTGGGGGAATAACATAAATGCTTCCTTATCCAGATCCATAGATAGAAGAGTTCTGAGTCGCCATCTGAGTGTAAGTAAGAAAATGGCCTTTAACATGTAGAACAAAAGAACTGTTGCACCTGAGAACTCAAATGCTGAGTGTCTATTGAAAGAAGAATGTGCAACTTTAGTTATACATGCCAATTAGTAAAACTGTCTAAACTGTTATTTGGACAGTTTTTGTTATACCTACATGCTGTTATTTCTGTCACTTTTTTTTTTTGGGGGGGGGCGGGCACTGGGTTTTCAACCTAAGGTGCTTTACCACTGAGCTACATTCCCAGCCTTTATTATTTTTTATTTTGAGACAAGGTCTCTGTAACTTGCTGAGGATGGCCTTAAACTAAAAATAAATTTAATAATAAATCTATTGCATGGTCATTTCTCTGAAAATGGAGGATGTTTATGGTTTGACTAAAGTAAATTTAAAGGAAAATTCCTACATCATTCCTGTGATCCAACCAAATCCATCTACTGTCATTAACTACTCATTGATCTCAGACTTATTGGTGTGCAAGGTAATATTGTCACTATGAAAATGTAAAAATGAAAATATTTGTTTCTAAATTCAGAATCTAAGAGTTAGATAGGGGTGATGAGAAGCCAGGAATCTGAGATTCTCTTGAAACAGTGCAGAAAACAAACAAAAAAAAAATAGATATCACGCAAATAACGTTCCGTGCATTAGAAACATCAAGATGGAAGCAGCAGCTAAGTTTTCTTGGGAAGTTTAGTGAATGAGCTCTCATTGACCTTAAACTCCTGCTTCAGCCTCCTGAGTTGCTGAAATTACAGGTACCTACCTGTAATTGCTGAAATACACCTACCACTATTTCTATTCTTATCTGGTCACAAACTTTACTATTGGTAGTTGGTAGTATGATCCATGAAAGCCAAAAATATAAGAGAAGTGCCCCTTTCAACCTTTAAGATAGCTTTTTGGCAACTGTGGAGGAAATAACCCAATAACAACAACAACAAAAAAAAAAATTCATGGAAAACCAGGCACAGTGGCCCACACCTGTAATCCCAACGGCTCAGGAGGCTGAGGCAGGAGGATCTCAAGTTCAAAGCCAGCCTCAGCAATGGTGAGGCACTAAGCAACTCTTTGGTCTAATCCATCACTAGGGTTTAGAAATAAATGCCAGAAATCACTCTAGACCTGATGAAAGGAGATTTTCTCTCTCTTGGCATTCTATGGAGGAGACATACTAGCAGGAATTTTGCAAGATAAAAAGTTAGTATATTTCTAACATTATCAGGCAAATGAGTTTCATACTTTTGGCTGAATTTTGGGGATGGAGAAATATTGAGGGCGGAAGACTCTTATCATAATCCAAATAAAGAGCTGGACTATGAAGGAGGTAATGAAAATCTAGAATCTAAAATGCATTTCAAAGAGAATAAACTTGGAGATAACTTTTAGGAAACATGAGAAGAACCGACAGAAGATTTTTGCCCGAAAACTAAGAGGAAATAAAAAAGTTAATACAAATACTAGTCAGGTATTTGTAAAGTAAACAGAATTAATAAGGAAAATAGTAGAATGTTGGCATTTTAAATTCAAAAGAATAGAGTCATACCTAAGGAAAGAGGAGTTGTAAATAAGAAATAAGTGACTGGAAATAATTTAGGAGTCTTCTATGAAGAGAAGATTCTGGAATAGGCTCAATTTTTTCATCTTTGTCAACCCTAGCCAACTAGTTATGCCTGCCTTGAGTCTTTAGAGTGAAGATTCCCAGTCCACAGCTGAGCTCAGTAGGAAAGATCAGTGGTCAATCAACATTGTCAATCATGAAACCTAGAGCCAAGAGAAGCAACAAGAACTACCCAAATATCCTTACAAAAGAGAATAGATAATGCTGAACTAAGAGCAAGGAAGTAGAGTGGGAGATATGCATGAGTACAGAGCCTCAGTATTGCCCATGGCTAGATGTGAAAAGGAATTGGGATACACCAAAATTCAGGGCAGTACAGTGTCATGAGAATCAGGGGAAGAGAGAAGATCATAGTGCAGATTGTGATCAACAGAGGAACGTTGTGCAAAGCTGTAAGAAGACTGAGAATGATGACAATCCCAATACTAGGCAATGACAAGGTTAACAACTTGGGAAAGATTGTGTTGTTTCGGGAAATGATGAAGTGAGGAATTACAGTAGATTTGTATGTATCACACAATTAAAAAATTATTAGATCACCTCTCAGCCTCCACTTTCAGGGATAATTTATTACTGTACATTATTAAAATGTAATCATTAGTTTGAGTAATGCAACCTCATGAGAAAAAAATCACTCTAAGTTTTAATTTTTTTTAATTAAATAAGAGTGATTGCTAACCTTGTTGCTTTCAAATTGTTGTTTAGAGGTTGTGTGAATATAATGTTTATAGACAATATTATTAATTTTTATTCTAAAAATTAACTTCAATTCACATTAAATTAAGGAACCCAAATGCAATTGTTGCACTTTCTCATAACAGATTCACCATCACACTGATCCAGATATGTGTCATTTCAGTATTTAATTAGTATAACAGAAAAACTCTACAACCACACTTTTTATTGACCCAAATGAAAAGGAAGAAAAAAATCAGGTCCACCACCTCTGACTTACAAATGGACTTGGCTAACAAAAAGTCATTTGGGCAAAGAAGCCCTCACTTCCCCTACAGTGACATCCAGGTGTTGGTTGGCCTACTCTCATTAAATGAGGAGATGGGACTTGCATGAGCACTCTGGCCCTTTAATGCCACTGGCATTCCAACTCATCAATGCCCTGTGGCAGTCAGAACCCAGGAGGGCTGAGAGCACAGAGCACTGGCAGTTGGTGGAATGATGGAGGACAGGCAAGCAGGACCTGGGGCAGGTAGGTGCAGAGCACTTGAAAGAAGAAAGAAATGTTTACCTTGGAGAGCAGGGGATTCTAAGAAGGTTAAGTTAAACTAGCAAAATATTTTTATTTAAACCTTAAGAATGATAACAAACAAGAGTAATTTTATTGATAGGAGAAGAAACAAAGTATCAACACTCACTTCTTGAAAAGTGTATCATTTTTATCCAATAAACACTTAACTTTTAGTGTTTCAAGTAAATATTAAATAAGTTAACTTGGATTTAGAGTGCCCCAGATTTTATTTTAAAGTTATAGACTGTTAAATTTATAAAAAAAAATTGGAAGAATAATAAATATACCATTTTTTTTAATTGACAAAAAAATACACAACAATGTGTAGTCACCATTACATTGGCAAAGTTTTCTTCTTAGGATATATAATAGCTATTTCATTGCAAACTTAAAACCAATCTCTAAAGTGTAAGTCTCCTGACTTTCTCTTTCATTTCAAAGACATTCTTAATTGATAGTCCTGGGAAGGGATTTTTCTATTCAGTAACATTTGAAAAACAATTACTCTCTTTTTTTTTTTTTTGGTCAGAAGAAATAAAAGTAAGAGTTCATCACTAAAGATATCTCCTAATGATGTGATAAACTAAAATCTGAGATCATCTAGAAGAATAAATAGAATTCATCATGGCCAACCTGGGCCCCAGTCAGAAGGGCCGCAAAAGGCCTTTACCCTTGCAAGCTCTAATGCCACAAGTACCCCGCGGCAACTATTTGCACCTTCTGGAAGAGAAACAAAGACTACAGCTAAAGAAATTCCTCCTTCATAGGATGTTTCTAGTGGCCAACACACAAACAAACCTGGAGAAAAAAGAAATTGCTGAATACTATGAACAAGTATTTCAGTCGATTTTGAAACATCACCTAGGAGAAGCAGTGACAGGATTATTGCTCATATACCCCACGTCCCTTCTGCATATCCTTGAGTCTTCCAGTGATACCCTTTACCAAATTCTTTTAGATTATCTAGACCATGAAAGAAAAGAAACAGACTATTTCGTCCAAAACATGAAAATTATAGTCATTTCTCATAACATCCCAACGAGATTCTTCATGCAATGGCACGTTTCAGTCATCAAAGTGCCAGTTATGTATCTTGATGATGTGACACAGTCACAGTCCTTAAATGAGGTCATCACAGATTTCCTCACCCAGACTCATAAACTAGCACTTCACCTTTTTAAGTCTATGAAAGCGGGTGCTAAGGGACCAGGGGATAATTTGCACCAAGTTGCACCTGAGCTACTCCTTCCAGAACAAATCATAAAGTATCTGTTGAAATGTGAACAATTTATGGACCCACAAACATTCATGAACATGTATAATAAACCTATTCACGTTACCATGGATTCTGAGGTGGTCTGGCCTGCTCCTTCCCGTTTCTACAGCTGAGAGATATGATGTGGTTTGATCTCTTGAGGATGTTGTGCTACTTTAAATAAAGGGGAAAATATTTCTAGAATTTTCCTTCTCTATTTTAAAAAACATTGCAGTGTACACAGAGGTAATAGGTTGAGCTAAATATAAGAATGTATTTGTTTTGATATTAAGTTAAATACATTATTTTTTATTCATAGTTCTCAAATTCCATCACTTTTGTGGAACTAATTTTTTTAAAATATAAATTCAGATTCTCATTAATTCTCTCAAAAGTTAGTGAACAGACTTTACCATGTAGCAGAATTACAATCCTCTGGCAATGGAATATTTAGAGGGACAATCCAACCCTTGAGTTGCCTGCAACCTAAAGTTAGAGGCAAGAATGTGTAAAATTAATTATGATATGATATAAGATTTGATTATTACTGTAGGAGTATTAGGGCTTTCTGAGCACAAGCAAGAAGAGTACTCACTATATGATTCCTGCATTCTGAAAGCAAAATGTAATCTTTGAAAATAGTTCCAAAGTTCATGTATTCTGGCCTACATATATAACAATAATATTAGGATCACTATAAGGCTAAAGAACACAATATTTTCTTTGAAATGTCTGGAAAACACATCATCAGATGGCTTTATATTCCTTCATGTGACATTATTTATTGAGCACCCTTCTTTCTACATGACATTTTCATGCACTGGGGCAGGGCACGATATACATAACGATATATTCCTGTCCACTTTAAAACTTTATTTCTAAATGATTCCATGTAAGATATCTTCTCAATTTACTCCCTATGAAGCAATTTCTATAGGAAATTAATTAAATGTTTGTTGCATCAGATAGAATTTCTTTGATGGGGTGAATTTTGTTTGGAAGCAGATTTTCTAAAGTTTGCTAACTGAATAAAAATATAGTTTATGGATAAAAATTCTGGATTAATATATATGAAATTAAGGTACATGGTACTGTATACTCCAATGTATCCAATTCCACAGGTTCCCTTTACAATGTAACCTTTACATTCTTCCCATCTCCTTGTTTGCTGTGACTTCTAAATCCCTTCCCTTGAAATCAGGTAGTCTTTTTGATGGCCTTGGCCAATGGAGTACCTCAGGAGTTATTCCACATGACCCTCAAGGCTGAGTCATAAAAATGCCATGCCCTTTGCTTTGCTCACTAGCTCCTAGACCCTGAACACTATACTGTGAGCAATCTAAGCAGTTTTCAATTGACATTCCTAGTTAGGGCCCATCCTATAGCCAGTGTTACCGGCTGGACATGTGAGTAGACTTTGGGGGATTTCAGACTCTGGTCTTCCAGTTAATCTTAGATTTCAATTCAGCCCAGCTCATGTTATGTGGAGTTAGAAATGACTTTTTCCCACTGAGTCCTGAAAAAACTACAAGTCTATGAACACCATTAGTTAGGTATTTATTCAAATGAAAATTACCTTTTATTATAGTCACTTTAGGAGGATTTCTATATAACCCAGTAATAACACCATGCCAAAATCATTTTGTGATTTTTTTATGAAAGCTGAATTAAAGAAGTTTATAACCAAAGAAAGCTTAAATATTTTAGTTATATCCAGTTTTAATCATCAACTAACATATGCTCCAACTTGATTAGTAGTTTTAACATTCAATCTTTCATTTGTAGATATGTGTGTTTATAAATATCACACTCACTCTCAAAGAAAGATCTACTGTCACTGAATAAAGAGTGTGACACGGTTTTAGTCAGCTTTCATCACTGTAACCAAAATACCTGACATAAACAAGTTAAAGGAGGGAAGTTTTATTGTGGCTCATAGTTTCAGAGGTTTCAGCTCATGGTTGGTTGACTCCATTCCTTTGAACCTTAGTTGAGGTAGAGCATCATGAAGGAAGGAAGTAGCAAAGGAAAGTTTCTCAGCAAATGGAAGCTAAGAAGCAGATAAAGGGAATGTGGAAGGGACTGGACATAAAATATACCCTTCCAGGGTATATCCTCAGTGGCCTGCTTCCTCCAAGTAGGCCCCACCTCCTACAGTTTCTGCCAACTCCCAATTATCCATCAAATGGGTTAATCCAATATTAAGGTTAGCGCCCTCATGATTCAATATTCCCTAAAGGACCTACTCCACTTCCTGCATTGACAACCAAGCCTTCGGTCTTTGGAGACTTGGGGGAACATTAAAGTCTAAATCATAACATCCTGCCTCTAAGGGGAAGCGCCCATTGTTTTCTGTAGCAGGTGTATCACTGAGACACTTATATAGCTTACAATAATAATGTGTAAAGGAGACTTATTTAGCTGTATATGGTTTGAGTACATTTGATAAAAATCAGAATCTTACATTTGGACCATACAAATATAACTTAGTTTGATAAATTCTCAAAATATAAATCATTAAACCTGATGAAAACTGATAATTTTCAACTCAATCAAAGTTATACTTTCCTTACACCCAAAGATAAAAATAAATAACACTGTGAACATACAGTATTCAATACTCAGATAACAATGAACTATAACATATATTCATATATGTTCATGAACATAGAAAATTCAAACTTTGCAGCCAGCTCCACCCTAAATCTTTTGATTTTTTGTAGATACTGTGTAATAGACTACCCTGTTGATGTATGCTTGCTTTAGAGTTGACTAATGAGTTTCAGGAAGGTTACAGATTTCTTGAAGAATAACTGAAATAATATTTGAAAGGAAAACTCTCCCAAGCTAAATTCTAAAAATCTGTTGTCTCCTTATTAATAGAAGAAACATTTCTATTTCTTCATGGAGAATTATTGCTTAATCCAAATAGCTTTTGACATACAGTAACTTTCTTGTAACTTTAGTTACATAAAACTGCATTTCAATTAAATTAAACCTATCTCTTCAGTGCTGTACCTCAGATTCCCTGAGAAACTAAAAATAAGACAGCCTTGCACCAACTTTACACAGCAAGATACTTTCAGATTATTTCATTGTATTAAATGATTTAATGTAGAATTAGAGTTCTCCCCCTTGTGGTCAATTATTTAAATTTCCAGATTACCTGCCCATAGCATTTATATTAATAAACACAGTGCAGAGATTTTAAAAGAATACAGGTAGAACTAAAAAAGCACTTTTAAATATCTATTACTCTCCTTGTTCTACAAATAAAAGTATATGAGACCTAAAGATATTAAGGTATTTTGCCAAAAGCTAAAGCAAGTGTTTATAACATTAGCTCTTGTTTCCCTTCACTGCATTAATTACACAAATTCTGGTTCCTCTACAAGTCTAACTATGTAAAGTAAATGATTCCTGTCAAATCACTTTTCTAATTATTTTACAACTGTTAATTCTATAATGGATTCTTTTTAATATCCAAGAAAAAATTTTTGTATCTACTGACCCAATGCTGAGTTGCTATATAAAGTAGTAATCATTAATACCTTTCTGTTTTCTCACTTTTTGAAAGACAAAATTCAATACTTTTTATTTGATGATTTATTTTATTGGTAATTTGTTACAATGGTTGGACTCTAGATCAATCCAAATACTCTTTCTGGTATGTTCCTATATAGTTGTAAACTTCAAAAAGGGGGTTCTTATATTTGATTTAATTATAAGTAGTTATAAAGTTAGAATAAAATAAAGATCCATTTTTAACTGAATGTGAATATTTACTAATTGGTTCACCAGTAATTTTCAGTCTAAAGGACCAGTTTCTATCCCCAAAGAGGATAAAAAAGGGGATAATAGTGTTGTCAAGGTATTCTTTTCTGTGCCTGCTCACTGTAGTTATTTGTTCTTTACCCCAATCCAGTTCATGCCATGACCTCAATTACTACTTAAGAACTACTAACTTCAAATGCTTGTTTACATTTTCATTTATTTAACATTTTTCATACAAATATTTTGTTGTCATCACTGTTTAGTCCCTGGTTACCAGGGCATAATAAGACAAGGCCTATGTTTTCATTGAGCATGTCATCTTGAAAAAAAAACTATAAAAAATAGGGGAGTTTATTTCATATACTTTTATGTGTTGTGGGGGAAATAAAATCATAATATTGACAGTGACTTAAGGGTCCCATTTACATCATTTGTGTTTGTTGGTCAGGGAAGGCTTCTCAAAGGAAGTAAGTGGTCTACAAACTGAGACCAGAATGAGAAAAGGTGCCATACACATCAAGATGGGATGGCAGAGGTCAGAACATTCTGGGAGAACAGCAAATTCAAAAACCTTTTAGTAGTAGTATGCTGGTGTGTTTGAAAGACAGCAAGAAGTCCAGAGTGAGTGGCTCTTTTCCATGAAGAGGAGAGTTGCAAAAAGTGGCCCAGGATACAAGATGTGGAGCTTTCTGGTCATAGTTAGGGGTCTGCATTTAATGCTGAGTGTTTTCCTGGTTACTGCATGGACCAATCTTTGTTCTAGTCTTATGTAGTGCCTTCCTAAGAAGTACCACTGGATGCCCACAAGCATTTCCATTTCCACATCTAAATTCTGTGAGAATTTTCCCACAAATTTTGTTCTTATCAATATCTAAAATCTCTAACTTTTTATCCACATAATAACTTCTACTCTAATTTGGAAATATACCAAGAATACACAGTGCAAGTGATTCTGTTAAACTTTTATATTTATATATTACTATTCACTGAACCAAAATCCAAGTACTGTTACTTATTCCCATTTTATTAGATTAAAATACTCTTTCCTGTTGCAGTATGTGAACAAGCATTGAAACGAATTTTTATTTCATATTAAAGACATTTTCTTTATATTTTTAAAATCCTTATTTCAATAATTATGCTTACCTGCTTTTGAAATAGGTGTTTGATATGACTAATATTTATCCATTTGTAAGATGAATATTTACCTTCTATCTTTCCTAAGTCATTGTAAGTATAAATTTGATACTATTTAAATTATATGGTTCACATATATGATTGGATTTTAAAATATTGATCCATTTTTATTTGTTGTTTTTATATATACATGACAGTAGGGTGTATTTTGACCTATTATATA